AAAAAAAAAAAAAAAAAAGTAGAGGAGTGTCAATAAATTTATTTTAAAAATAGCCCTGTTACTTTCTAAATTTGTAGTACCTGTCAGCTTTATATTTTTAAGATTTTATTTATTTATTTATTTATTTATTTGAGAGAGAGTGCAAGTGAGAGAGCACAAGCAGGTGGGAGGGGCAGAGGGAGAGGGATGGGCAGACTCCTCGTTGAGCTGGGAGCCCGACCTGGGGCTTGATCCCAGGACTCTGGGATCATGCCCTAAGCCGAAGGCAGATGCTTAACTGACTGAGCCCCCTACGCGCCCCCTTGTCAGCATTATAGAATTGTAATATGTTGTGATTTCTTTTCTCATTCTAAATATTTACTTTCAGATATAATTTTGTGTTCATAATTTTGTTCTTTTTCTTAAGAGAGTCTCCCACAGGGCGCCTGGGTGGTTTAGTCATTTGAGCGTCCAACTCTTGATTTCAGCTCAGGTCATGATCTCAGGATTGTGGGATCAAGCCCCGTATCAGGCTCTGTGCTCAGCATGGAGTCCCCTTGAGAGTCTCTCTCTCCCTCTGCCCCTCTTGCTGCTTGTTCTCTCTCTCTCTCTCTCTCTCTCAAAATAAATTTTAAAAAAAGAGGGTCCCCCACATTGTATAAGCATCAGGCCTCACAAAACCCAGATCCACCCCTGTCCCAATTAACTGAGGTACTAAAAAGCCAAAAACCCACTCCCTGTGCAATTTCCCATCCCAAATTAGGCCAGTCGTATTGTCCAGTATAGCCTACCAGGGGTCCTGCAATGAGCTTAAATGACATCATAATGATAATAAAATGCCAACAACACATCCCTCCTCTCACGATGTTCACTGTGGATTTAAAGCTCAAAGAGGAAAATCCAGAGAGGTTGAACTCCAGAATTTTTAAGTTCAAGTTCAAAGGAATTAATCTAATATTTCTGCCCTTGTGAGTGAAAGTCTGAAGTCCAAATTCCTTAGGATAATTTTGAAAGAAATTAACAGTCTCCCCCAATTTCTCCTAGTCAGTTCTAACCACAGGGGTTTGGGGTGCCTGGGTGGCTGGAGGGGCTCCTCTGGGAGACCGAGCCTGGAATGACTGTGGTCCTCCAGGATATCCAAAATGTCACCCATCACGCCACTTCTCAGAAAGTGGAAAGTGTTCACAAGGGACAGGGCTTTGGGTGGCCCTGGCCCCACACCTACTCACTGGCAAAACAAAAACAAACCAACAAAAAGCCAAACTCTGGCCTTTAGAGCTGTTATCCAGGTTCTCTGTAAATTAGGTTCTAGAAACCAATGCCTTGATCCATAGCTGAATGGAGAAAGAGAGGACAGAGGAAGTCTCTGTGTCAGCCTCACCAGAGAAAAACTAGTTAATCCCAATGATCTACAACCCATGAGCTGTGCACTTATGTTTCTTTGGGACACTATTCCTAACAAGACATTAGGTATGGCACTCTTCATTATTGTGGGCATGGCGGTGGGGGTGCTCCTCCCTATGTCCACTGCTTCCTTCCAAAGAGGACCATTAAATCATCCCCACTTTCTTGAAAAATTTAGAAATTTACAACCGCCTGATCATTATATCTTCTTTTGGTTCCCTCCCACCCCTGGCATATTGAAGAATTCCAAAACTCAATTTCCCCTTTGAGTCTTAATCATTTAAAGCTAGAAACTGAAAAACAAATGCTCTCTACCACACCTGGAACTCACCTGTAGTTGAAAGTTCTGACCCGCCAATCTGGCTAGGAAAAAAAAAACCACAATGAAAGGCAGCAAATATTTGTTGCAACCATAATGACATTGTGCTTTTCTTCATAATTTGGTGTCTCTCCCCTTTGTTGCACAATAGAATCACCTGGGAAACTTTAAAAAATACTACTTATGGGGCCGCCTGGATGGCTCAGTCGGCTAAGCGTCTGCCTTTACGGCTCTGGTCATGATCCTGGGGTCCTGGGATCGAGCCCCGAGTTGGGCTCCCTGCTCAGTGGAGAGTTTGCTTCTCCTTCTCTCTCTGCCCCTCCCCCCCTCCGCTGCTCATGTTCTCTCTCTCTTAAATAAATAAACAAAATCTTAAAAAAATATACTACTCGCTGAGCTCCACCGCAGAGAAATTAAATCAGAATTGGGAGGAATGCGGAGGGGTGAAGAGATAGAAGGATATAGGCATCTGTTTAATTGGTTTTCCCCAGCAATTTGAGTGTGCTGCCAAGGTCAAGAACCACGTGGCCTGCTGTCACCACCGATCACCCCAACCTCCACTGTTCTTTGGTATACTTCCTCATTTTGATGAGGCACATCCTCCAGGAGCCTCTTAAGAAAGGTGCATAGGATGTAAATTTTCTGAGTCCTTAAATGCCTGCAGTGTCACTAATAGGGTGAACCAGCAGTTTACTACATGAACTAATCAGCTCATGGTTTGCCTGTACATAGAAATTTATATTGAAAATCATGACCCCTCAGAACTTTGGGCATTGCTCAGGAATCCTGGGGGGTTCTGACTCTTCGAGAATCCTGTGGAGCTGTCGAGAAGCCCCCTGCCATTCTCAATGTCATTCATTTAATTGGAACCTACTTTTTCCTCTGAATGCATTGGAATATACTGGACCATTTGAGTCAGAAGACTCACCTCAAACATTTAAAAATTATTTTCTTATTAATTACCTTCCCTCCATTTTCCCTATGTTCAATTTGTGGGACTTCTACTACTTTATCCGACCTCCTGAATTGAGCCTTTGGATAATTTTTTTCTTACTCTTCTATTTTCTAGTTTCTTTTTCCCTGAAGATATCTTTGACTGTTTTCCAACCTCATGACCAAATTTCTTATTTCAGTCAACCTATTTAATGTCTTTTGAATGCTATTTCAGTAAACATAGCAAAAAATTTTCTCTGGAAGTACGCAAGCTGGTTTTGACGTTTATATGGGAAGATAAACAAGAAAGGCCATAAAACGTCTAAGAGGAAGTGCACTGAGAGAGGCCAAAGCCCTATCAGATATCAACACAGTTACAAAGGCTTAGTAATGAAAACAGTGTGGTATTGTGCGTGAAAAGACGCATGGATCCTTGGAGCAGAAGAGAAAGTCCAGAAATAGATCCAACAGATTATAGATAAATTTCATATATGACAAAAGTACCATCTCTATTCAGTGGAGTAAAGATGAACTTTTTAGTAAAAGATATTGCAGTGACCGGGTACCCGGTTGTAATAAACTAGAGTTGGATCCATACTTCATACCATACATCAGGATAGACTCGAAATGGGTCAAAGATCTCCATATAAGGAATTAAACTGTATAATATATGAGTATCTATTACAAGAAAACAGGGCTGAATTCCTTTATAACCAAGAGATAGACAAGGCCTCTCTAATTATGGTTTGAAATTCACAAGTCTTCACAGAAAAGATTGGTAAAGTCAACCACATAAATAACAAAAATGTTTACATGGCAAAAACATCAAAAGCAAAATCAAAAGACAGAGTGGGAGAATATTTGTAAATTATATCACAAAGGGCTAATCTCCCTGTAACATAAATAACTATATATATGTAGATAGACATATACATATCTAGATACTTATCTGTCTGTCTATCTATAAATATATATTGCTTCTAAAAATCAAAACAAAACAAAGGGCAAAGGAGACAGGGAGTTCATGGAAGAAAGAACTATAGATAACTCTTAAACATATGGAAATAGAAACAACTTCACTCTAATAAGAAAAATATAAATGGAAACTGTACCAGGATGCCATTTTTCACCTATCAGATAATCCCCCCCACCAAAAAAAAATCTAAAAATTTGGTATTATCATACTTTGTTGGGAAGGCTCAGAAGAAATAGGCACTCCCATATCTCATTGGTACAAAACCATACAATCCCGTAAGGAGGGGAATCTGGCAATATTTGTCAAAAATATATTTTTTAAGATTTTATTTATTTATTTATTTATTTATTTATTTATTTATTTATTTGACAGAGAGAGAGAGTTAGCGAGAGCAGGAACAAAAGCAGAGGGAGCGGGAAAGGGAGAAGCAGGCCTCCCACCAAGCAGGGAGCCCAATGTGGGGCTCATCCCAGGACCCTGGGATTATGACCTGAGCCAAAGGCAGACGCTTAACAACTGAACCACCCAGGAGCCCCCAGTATTTGCTAAAATTACAGACATATTTTCCCTTTAACACAATGGTCACTCTTCTGGGAATATATCCTATACAATCTACTATGTGAGTATGCAAGAACATGCGTGCAAGTTTATTGATTGTGGCAGAATTTTAAAAATTTACAGATTATAAACTACCCATGTATTTAGCAGTTAAGTACCAGTTCAATAAATGAAGGTACATCTATTTGATGGGATTAGTATGCACCTATAAAAAGGAATGTGGAAGATCCCTACTGATGTGAAGACATCTATCTATAGGCCATACCGTAAAGAAATGAAAAGAACAGTGTATATAGAATATTATTTGATTGAATGTATACAGTATGCTACACTTAGTGGAATAAAAATATCTATTATATTTGTCTTCATTCATAGAAACACTGCAAAGATAAATAAGAAACAAATAAAAATATTTTCAGGAGGATTAATTAATCAGCACTCAATTTCTCTAAGGATGTG